TGGATGCTGAGAATTCCACACTGAATGATAAGCACCATTTTGGAATAAATTAAGTTATTCTTCCTGCATAGGCACTGGTGGCACAGCGGTAGAATAATCACCAACTATGTCTCATGTGGTTCGGGGTTCGATCCCCGGCTGCCAACGCACTTCTTTACTTCGCTAAGCCAGTAACAAGACCAGTAAAGATAGAAGGTTGGACATGAGGTTGGATAGCAACCCTCATCCCATAAAACCAAGATAACACTGTTACCGAAACTTCAAAAGCTCCAGCTTGAAGCCCTAGGTGTTCCACTGGGATCGCAAAGAAATAAATAACAATTCTTATTGCATTACGTCAGCAGGTCAGAGGACCAAGTTGTTATGGTGACGAATAAGGACGTCTTAGCAATAAGATGCTTCCATCGGATGTCCAGGAAACCAACTATTCTGCATTTTCTTGTCTGTGAAGGAGGAGGTTGATAAGGTTCAATCCCGAAAATAGTAAATCCTGATAACTGGAGGTGAGATCTTGATACAGGCATAATTCCGAAAACCACTACAAGTAAGCCGTGTGTGTGTGACTGCCTTGAAGGAGTTATCCCATGGGCTACTCTTAATAATCAGTAGTGTTGGACATGAGAAGCGATTAGCGGGTCATCAATGCGAGGGTGACATGGGGGAGATCGTTTGAGAGAAGAGGAGATGAGAGATTATAGACGAACATGGACCCAGATGAAGATGAGAGCAGAAAATAAAACAAAGTGGAGATGTGTTGGTAAAGCGCACTTGAAATGCAAGAGGATAATAATAATAATTTGGACACCATGCAATTCTAGCTGCTTTCTTCCTTATTATTGATGGTATCAAGCAGATTATGTCATTGTGTTCTGAATAATTTTAAGAGTTTTTGCGAAGGAAGCTGTGTCGAATTTTCCTCTCTAACTGTGACAACGAATTGTGAATTTGATTCCATTTATTACTGATTCCTTAATTTCTGAGTGGAACATAGAGCCTCAGGGACACATCTTTTCTTTGTACTCGGTTATCTGCTTGAAAATAGCTCCAAAACCACGCATGGACTTTCATTCCCTCCACCCTCTCCACTCACATGATCTTCTCCAAATCACAGACTACCATTCAAGTTCCCCTTGACGGCTCGCCTGGTGTGTGATATTACTCAGTACTCTCCTCAGCGTATTATCCAATTCATGTCTATTTTATTCTGTATATTTGTTGAGCAATAGATTTTTGGTTCATCTATCTTTCAGAGTTCGTCATTACTTACTCATCTTTAATGGTTGATTCTCTGATCTTCTGTATCCTAAACAGCTGATTCAGGTTTGGATGAAATTCATTGGAGCACACCGAAGATGCTTTATGTGACGCGTGTGCTGCGTTGATATTAGTGTTAGAAAAGTTCAGATTTTTGTTCTCCGTACGAGTTTTGGTTGATTTCAGAGTAAGAGACGTCTATCTTACTTTCCCCCTTTCGATTCTTGCTTTGATATCCTGACCCGGTGATACCTATGTTAGATAGATGCGAAATTCAACTCTTCTTGGATTACTTCCACTGATGGTAGTCGATTTCTGTGGCTTTCTATTCGGTATCTTCATCACTTCTGTCTTTTTATGTTCATTCTGAATTCCTCTTCTACTACATTGTTGGATTCCATAACCAGACTGTTGTGGATTTCATTGACTGGTGCCATGTTTTGGTTTGACTACGAGTGGCTCTTTTCCAACCTGATCCATCTTATGTCAGTTAATATTGCCAGTCAAGGAAGGTGAAGCCAAGAAGTAACAACCGCCCACACACTTCCAAAAGCACACTTCTAAAAGACTTCTTATTAGATGCAGACAGATTGTAGGACGACCAAATTAAGAGCTTTGCGGATGACTTATGTCTAATATCACACAAACTCGAAGACATACAGGCGAAAAACCAACAAAGTAGCTGGAGAATCATCAGCCGGCGAAGACACGAGTAACTCTAGGTGAACATAGAGAAGGTGTGGAGACGGAGGTAACAAAGATAACCAATGAATCAACAACAGCAACCAGCGCCAATCAATCAATCAGCTGTCAACGAAATCAATTTGAAAGAGATCACTTCCTTCCTTCTCTTATCTGACCAGGCAGCATCACTTCAGTGACAAGCAACACCATAGATGAGAATGTCAAAGCTAGCCAGAATCGAAAAGGCATGGCATACCTTCATCACTCTGAAGTGAGTTTCAAAATCTTCTCCACTCAGCAGCACAAAGAACAAGATTTTGATGTGGTTGTGTTCTCTGAGCTGAATAGTTAATTTGCGAAGCTTTCATCACCTTACTAGGTGACATCTTCAGCACATACTTCAATTTGTTGAAGTGAGCTTTTAGATTTCTCCACGAGTTCATTAATTATCTCTCCCGGTGACCTTGGACGTGATTGGTTGTTTTTGTGTGTTTTCACACCTTCTAGGTTACTTGTATTGTCACTCATTGTTTCTTTGACTTGAACTATGACCCTTTGTGTGTGAGGTTTCTTTCTTATCGGTTGATAAGTTTTGTCTATCTCGATGTGTCTATTGATTGATGATTCACTGGAATACCAAGCTTCTAAAAATTCTCTAGTATTCTTGGTGTTTCCTCTGTCTAATATTTGAACGTTGGTTGTCCCAGTCGAATTGATGTCTGTGGTTGTCTGTATGTAGTGATATGAGGGAGTGGATGTCATGTCTTTTGACGGCTAGTTTATGATCGTGGATACGAAGATGAAGGGGACGTCCACAGTGGCCAATTTAGTTAGTGTTTTTCGCAGTTGTTACAATTTATTTTGTAGATGATCTTGGTTTTATCTTCTTTCGCTGTTGAGTCTTTTGGTTGACATAGAACTGAGTGAAATGATTTTGTTGGTTTGTGTACGACGTCAATTCCAAAAGGTTTGACGAGTCTTGCAGTGATTTCTGATATATCCTTTATATATGGCAGGGCGACTTTCTTTGTGCTTTTCTTGGAGGGCTTTTGGTTTGATAGGTTTGCTTGGGGAAATATGTCTTTTGAACAAGATCCGTATTTTCAACACCAATGTGATGCCGGTCAGTCACAAAAAATATTTCTGAATAGTGGTTGCAGAATGTTATCAACACCTGTCACCTTCGCAGGCTCCATAGCGAAGATCAGATGGTAGGGCCAGTGAGAAAGAATTAGCAACAAGAAACTATGACCGAGAACAAAGCAACCAAGAAAGTACTGCTCAACAAATATTCCGAAGAAGGTGGAGATGGATTGGATATGCACTGGGAAGACTGTTGAGTGGCATCGAGCTGAGCCGAGGGAATTGCTCGAGTGGAACCTGAATGGGAAAAGACGAGCTGAGCGTTTGCCAAAAGGTGGGTGAGATGGAAGACTATGAGCACTTGTGGGGCCAGACAAAGAGGACCTCAGAGAATATTACAAATTGAAGAAGGGCTATTGAAGCCCTATATACCATTTGGACCACACACTATTTTAAATCCTACTCAGCAAAAGTTAGTTTAAACAAACAACAATGAGTGAAATGTGTGCTGGTATAATAGTCAATAACAATTAACACGAAAACAATAGAGTTATTTATCATCCCGATCACGTTACATTTTGAACTGACACAGTTAGGATCCACAAGTCACTGATTTCCTCTTCAAATGAATGAATAGTCAATGGGCTAACCTAGTGACCTGATGGTTCTAGGTCCGATCCCTCTTGTGGAGTCATGTTTGCGCACTGATGAAGAGTATCAAACCAAGACGAAACGACAAAATCTATACAGAAAGCAATCCAAATTTAAATGAATTTTAGATTTCCCCTCTCGATTTATTGGACCGAAGTGCTTGGTCTCAGGTTGATATGTCAATTAAATTAATATGACCCGTGGCGCAAGAGGTGGTCAGCTCTCGTGGCCTAAGTGGTCTAGTGGATAACGCTTTAGCGTTTGAAACTATGGGCACTGGGTTCGAGCCTCGGTGGGAACGCCATCACTGACTCACTCATAGGGTAATGCAGGTACATCCAGTGGCTGACGAGTCCCAGATAGGACGAAATGCGCACCTTCATGGGTTCAATGAACGAAATATTCCCATATTGAGTCATAAGAAAAAGGCAGAAACAGCGTAGAAAATTTTCTTTTCGACGACTCATTTTCATGAGCTCTACAATCGTAATTATAATTAACAAAGAAATCTTTAGACCAATCAGATACTGGTAAATTTTTGTCCTTGGAAAATTGTATTACATACTGTAAGGTGTAAGAAGGGATGACTAATTGTAAGTTAGAAAGGAGACAGAAGTTGGCATGACGTAATAATAAGTGTGAGATAATGAATAATCAGTAAGCTCGTGTAAAATGGACAGGAACTAGTGGAAAGGCTATAAAGTGTTTTTGTATAAAATATATATGAAAAGCAATGTTATTAATGAACAGTAATAGAGTGGTAATAAAATGTGGATGATGGGGACAATAATGATAATAAAAGTATTGATAAAATAAAATAATAATAGTAATAATAGTGAACTTATATACAAAAGCGATACATACATTCTCTTGCCTTACCATGGCCAGAGTAAAGTTCTTATCACAATTTTGCTTCTTTCCTTTATTATATAAGTTCATTATTATTACTATTATTATTTTATTTCATTATTACTTTTATTATCATTATTGTCCCCATCATCGGACAGTATGTGTAATACAATTTTCCAAGGACAAAAATTTACCAGTATCTGATTGGTCTAAAGATTTCTTTGTTAATTATAATTACGATTGTAGAGCTCATGAAAATGAATCGTCGAAAAGAAAATTTTCTACGCTGTTTCTGCCTTTTTTCATGGATTTGACTGCTAGCCACCCTCCACAAATTAAACTAATCCAAATCCCTACATAGTTGATACTGCTAAAATAAATATCACAGAATAAAGATACATGTCTCAAACGATAATTAGACAATGATAATCAGATGAGGTCAGATCGGATAGTATCAAATGAAATCAAATTAGACTCACCCATTCCCTGTTTATTATACTGTTCAAGTTCATCTATTGTTTTAGCCTGAGCGATCACCATTGGTAAACAGAGGAATGAACCATACGATCTATGTGTAGCAATAATAATAATAACAATAATGATAGTAATAATAAAATATATTGTACTGCTTGTGTTTTCGGTATATGAATGATTTCATAGAAAATTACATTATGAACCAACATCAACTAAAAAAGCACTGTAAATTTGACAACACTCTCCTAGGTTTGATTCCTGGTGAAGCCATAGATGTGCACACACTGAAGAGTCTCAAATTAGGACGAGATAATTTCCAGCGCCCTATGGTTTTCAACAGTTCTCTTTGAGGTCTTATATTCCAATTCGGAATGCAAGGAAGAAATCATAATATATTTGTCTATGAGCCATTCACTGTCTCTGTTAAAATGTTAAATGAACGAACTCAAGAGGAAATGTACAACAATAAAAAGATACGTAGAGATCTCTTCAAATAATTTTGCCTCTATGACAAAAAATGGGTTAGTCAGAAATAATAACAATAAGTGAACAATGTACCTTTCGCAATTTCGAATAAAACTTTATTACAAAATATTCTATTACTGAATATTTATGAGTAGTTCGTTCTATATATACAAAATAAGTAGACATGATTAACATGGTGTGATATGGAAGTATACACAAAATAATTGACCAAAGTTATTCAATGCATAAATCATGTATAAAGTAGTGTGTTCTGCATGACAGATATATCAGAAATGCAAGATACAGCCTCAACAACCTGAAATCAGTTTAGAAGTCTATTGCACTGCACTCAGCCAGCCAGCCAGCCAGTAGAAAAAACAAGATTCCTATTCTGTTCAACAGAGATGTGAAGTCAGTCGGTCAGTCAGTCAGTGATTGTATACGGGCCAGAAACTTGCTCTGCGTGTCACGAAAAGCACTTCCAACAAGCTAATGTAGACTTAATCAAAAGCTACCACCTTCGCCGACTAGCTCCCTACTGAAGATCAGATGGCCAGCCAGCCGGCCATACAGAATTACTAACAGGAAACTCTGGCTGGATGGAATCAAACCAACAGGCGAGAGTCGATTGCTCAACAAATATATAGGAGAAAATGGAGGCAGATTGGTTCGGCATACGTTTAGGAGGCCATCGAATGACATCACGTGCAATGCACGCTGTCGGTGGATTGGAATGCGAGTGTGAAGCAACGAGTGGGTTGTCGATGCGACAATGTTATGGAGGAGATAATGTGATTTGGAGGAGAAAATGAAAGGTTATGCGCAGTCGTGAGGCTAACCAGCTGAAGAGGACTGCAAAGAATAGAGCAAAGAGGAACCAAAGAGAATAATAATATATGGAAGTCCAAGTTCTGAACTCTTCAACAGTATTCGAACGTAACCTCATTAAACATCGGGCATAAGAAAATCTAGGTTGTAAGGCGTCGTTCAGAACCAGAATGAAATATATGTCCAGTAATTTTTGCTGACTGATGCATGATTCTTAAACTGATTCCAATCCCTGATTTAACTTTAAATCAATCAAATGCCTGCGGACCAAGAGCTGAAATGAAAACTGCCATGGCTCTCGTGGCCCAACACTTTTGGCGTTTGAAACTAAGGGCATTGGGTTCGAGCATCGGTGGGAACATCATCACTCGTTGGAAAACGGAGGTACATCCAGATGACGAGTCCCAAATAGGATGAAACGCGTATCCTTGATTCCACTGCTAGTCACCATCCACAAATCATAATAGTTGATTTATTTAAAGTGAAATCGTGAACTACCCTCAGTCAGATAACCAACCATTAAATAGGCAGCAGAGAGTACTGGAAAGTGGTCCCGTCCTTGTAACCTCAAAGTCCTAAGCTGTATCTCTAATACTCATTGCTCAAGTGTCTCAGACAAGGATAAAATAGCTGAGCAGCACCATTTCCAGGTTTCTTAGTAGTTTTACTAAATGAAGTCCTTTTTTTAATCCAAATTTAAAATTCCAGCATGAACAAGATATTTGACAAAAATTTATGCTACTTACTTGATTTCAACACGTAAATAGAATTCAATCAAATGAACTAAACTTTTAAATATCAATCGCATTTTCTTATCTCCAGTTAAACAATAACCATCATGTGGAAGTATTTCAATTAAATTATGTTTGATTGGTAAAGGAAACTTCTTGATATCAATATCATCGATATTGTGAGAGTTACTGCTGACACCACGACTACAACCATTGAAGCGTTCACGTATTTTATTCGATGTACGTAATCCACTGGTTGGTGGACAAACACGTGTCAACACCATACTTGAATTGTGTTGATTTACGCGTACAATAAAATTCTATTAAAACAGAAATGTTAAGAAATAATTATTAGATCATGTGAAATTTATGCAAGGAAATATATACTACTTAAAGTGTTTAAGTAACACAAAACGTTTCATCGAAAAAACCAACTTGATAATCTGTTTACAGAACTATTCTTTCACAGCATGTGATATTAAAAGTATACTTGACCGATATCTACACTGCTACACTCATTTTTATTCAATTGAGTTCTCTTAGCTGAGGAACATTGGTTGCTCTTCTAGACATTATCTTCAACGGAGACCTCAGTGTGAGTTGAACCTTGAAGTCAGTTGGTGGGTGGTGACTAGAAGTGCCATCCTTCTAGGATGCGTACTTCGTCCTATTTGAAACTCGTCAGCCAGTGGATGTACCTACATTCCCCTGTGGGTTGGTGGTAGCATTTCCACAGAGTCTCGAACCCAGTACCCATAGTTTCAAACGCCAAAGCGTTATCCACTAGACCACCTGGGTCACGAGATCCGGCCACCTCTTGTGCAACGGGTCATAATAATTATTTAATTCAATTTTAAATTTTCCTGTCTATTGACTGGACCTATGCGCTCGGTCTAGTGGATAACGCTTTGGTGTTTGAAGCTATGGGCACTGGATATGAGCCTCGGTTGGAGCGCTATCACTGACTCACAGGGGAATGTAGGTACATCCACTGGCTGATGAGTTCCAAGTAGGACGAAACCCGTGTTGTCCTGGATTCCATTGTTAGTCACTATCCACCAATTAAAATTTGTAGTTTACACTAAGCAGCTTATTATGTCTCTTGTATTTCATTACATTTCAGAATTGAACCTCTTTATTATATTACTACACTTGACATATATGTCAGTCCCTGCTTGAACTCACATACAGTGTACTCCATTCTTTGGTATTTGTTTGTATGTATTTTGTGGCAATAATGATAAGTTTTAAATGTTTTGAACGTCAGTAATAACAATGATTATAATGATAGCAGAAAATAATGATAATAAGGTTTATGCAGGTGTCGATAAGAATATCGAAGGTAGTAATATGTGTGTATATGTAGACAACTCAATCAATAAATGAATTGGTGGGGGGTAACTATGACTCTCTCACGGTAGCCAAATGCCTCGTCATCTAATCAATGTTAGGCTCATCAGGACGGGCCCTACATGCGGTACGAGGACCGAAATCCTTAAACCATCGTGTGTTTTCCAAAATTGGCTTCTCTTGTTAAGTTTACATTTGGCTACGAAGTTCCGTCCAGTGCTTTGAGTGTCAACGTGAAGAAACTCAACCGGGCACGGGAAATGGCGGGACGACGGTTATGGTTATATGTGGCAGGCGCCTCCACGTGGCGACCGCCGGGTGGAGATTATCGGCCGGAAACTGAGCCCCAGCTAAGACCTGTCACTTGCATGAGGCAACATCCGTGTCCGGTTACTCAGTCTTGAAGCGGTGGGCCGTCCTCGGCTTTATGCGTTTCACAGGGCATCGACGGTTCAAGATCTGTTGGATTCTTGACGAGAGACCCGGGACCACTAACAACTGGTTAACGGGTCGCCATGGAGGACTGGTACCCCCAAACGGGAGGCGCGGCGGGGCAGCTGTTAGCCGAGAGTAGTGTGAAGTGGTGTCTTGTGCTGTGTATTGGAGGTTGGGATCTCGGCCAATAGTCAGGTTTGGGCTGGCTCCAATGCGCATGTGTCCCTGATATAGATGTCCTGGAATTGGCGCGAGGGGTACTGCCCTATGGCTGTATTAATGGTAACGGAATGAACGACCTACCCAATCATAACGTTTTTGCGATGGTCTTTGGCGGGCCGCATTTGTGCTAAGTCGGTACTCAAGTAAAACTACTAGACAATTCAATCAATCAATAAGTTAGATCATATCTTAAAAGTTATGTAATACTAAGGGTAGGTGAAGTAGATAGATAATCAGAGTTTAAATAAATATCATAAAAGTTCGAAGGAAATTGGAAATAAGAAAGGGTGGGAGCGTTTCATTGAATTGGAATTTACATAGGCCAAGAGAGAGACAAAGGATGGAACAAACTTCTTTTGTGTATACAAAGACTAGCAGTTACTCTCTCGAGTTCCTATAGCTTCAGCAATGTTTAGAAAGGCCAGTCTGAATGGGTCGATGGAATGCGATCGATAACTTTGAAGGCACTACTTCTACTGTCCACTTGATGACCACTATTATCGATCAAATGAGACAGAATAGAACTTCTTATAGATTTTATTCGGCCTTTTCCGAATCATGAAGGTAGATGCTCGGTGAAGATGCGTTTGTTTAGCTGTCTAGTTGTTCGCCGTATATAGTAGCAGCTAAATTTTTGAATACAAGCAAGGCAGCTTGAAACTCATCCTAGCAGTCATAATTGGTCGGTTAGAAAATGACAAACAAAGGGTGACAGCAACACTATAAGTCCCTTTTATAGTTCTCTCCAGATAATCTTAGATGTAGAACTTCACTAACCATGTCCCCATTGTACTTCAGTTTCATGATTAAAACAGGAGAAAAAATCGGCCGTTGCTCTATGAACTTGATTTTTCGTGCTCGAGAATATATCCCACTGTAACAACAGAAGACAAGGACCAGGCAACAGATCGTTTATTACGGAAAATCAACACATATTTATAGATTTTGATGTACATTATTGTAGGTTAATGTTAGTAGAAAATACAGTCTGTTGATTGGTTGTTTCTCACACAAAGTTAACCTTGCATCTCTTGTGGCTGTGTCAGTTCATCTATATGTTAACTGTAGCCGCCTGTCCATCTTGACCTTGTTTTCACATGACTAACATTGACCTCAATTACTGTCAACCAATTTGGCTAGCAACCATCTCTCACCACACCACTATGGCTAAGTAAATGTGCAGTTAAAACTATTAACAGCTCGATATTAGACCATCTGGTGCAAACCGGTAACAAAGCCAGCCAGCGTAGAAGAATCCTTCTCTATAATTTACCGGGTGCCTAACAAACTACCAAAATCATCGAAGCACCGCATGCTCAAAACAGCAGAGGCTATTTCAATTCGCCTCAAATAACCAGTGCTCTGTGTTCAAATGAAGCAAGTCCAGCCACCCTACTACTGCCCTGGCCGGCCTTCAGTAGGGACTATAAATTCATGAATTTGTAATATTATCTTTCATAATTCTTCTGACATTCAGCTTATTTTATGTTGATGCTGTTCAGCTGTAATGTATCAATATTACTGATTCGATGTTATTTAAACCAAATTAATGTTGTTCATAACACTAATTCATTCATTCACTATTATGGATGGATATATAACTGTAGAGCCTGATGATGAATTTATCGAAAAGAGTTCTCTTTGTTCCGTGTCCATTCTTTTGAAAAAATCGTTGAAAATTAGAGGAAAATAGGAGAAAACTAAGCAGGCTTGACTAGATAGATCTCTGACTGTCTGATAAAGATGCCCTTTTAATCAATAAACATTATTCTATGACACTGTCTCTTAATGTATACACACTAAAGTGCATGACAAAGCGAGCATGCGCGCACACACACACACACACAGGGACATATAGACAGGCTCACACATAGATACATAAACACATACACAAACACACACACAAAGACAAAGCCAGACAGACGATATAATAACAAAGTATTTAAAAATACTAATAAGAAACAGACCAACTTTTAAATCAAATCAATTGAACACATTGAACACTTGTTTATATTATTGATATTGTTATAGAATAATATTTAAAAGTATTTCTGTTAGTTTTTCGATTTTGACCACGGATTGATATCAGTTAGAGAACCAGTGAAAGCCAACCAGGGAATACTGGACAGCCAGCTGTTTCATCCTAGTTCGAGAGTTATCGATCGGCAGTACGCACCCGCCCACGAGGCAGGCGAGCTCGTATACTGACTATTTATTTGTAAGTAATCCGTATAGGATAATATGAGTGGTGTAAAACTACTATACCATCAAAAGGAAACTATTTTACACCTCTTTTGGCTGAAAGCTGTTTGTTTTCCCTTGACAGTGCTTAAGATATTTTCCACTTTTTGAGCCCTCCTGATTTGCCGAGAAAAGTTATTGATTCCTCAGTTATTTAATGTCTCTTCATCGCAGTCGTGTCTGTCTCTTGGAGGAGTGTTCAGTTTCTGTTGTCTTATTCTCTGTGTGCGACATTTTGAAGTTTGGCGACTCGCAAAAATGGACACACTTCTACAATGATTCATCAGTGAGTGAATGAGTCAGCCAATCAATAAAAATATTTCGACTGGAGTTTTCTACTCTTCAGCATTTATCAACATTGTGTAAACTGTAGCTTTGAGTAAATTCACATCTGGTTTCAAATACGAATCCCTAAAACTCCGTACAGAAGTTAATTATTTCAATAGCGACTTATTGAAATTATGACTGGTTCTTTTGCATAATTGCATAATAATTGTGATGGCATTTATGATTTGGTTGTAACCGACAGCTGTCTCCGCTCAATGCTACTGAAGATCATATGATAGGCCAGGAAAGGATTAGAAACAGGGATCTCTGGGAGCGAACTAACCAACCCAGCAGGAACCAATTGTGCAACAAATCTTCAGAAAGAAATGGAGGTGGATTGGCTGGCCATACTCTGAGAAAACGAACCATCAAGTGAGTGACATCACACGCCAGGCCATCACTCGAGTGGAAGCCAAATGGGAAGCGGCGAGTTGGTCGTCAGTGAGAGAGTGACATGTAGGAGGAGGTGGTGTGAAGAGGAGATGAAAGCATATGTGCAGACGTGGAGCCATGTGAAAACGTTGGCAGAGAGGGGAACGCAATGGAGACGTGTGGCTGAAGCCCTATATTCCTCTAGGAACTAAAGGAAAGTACTAGAATAAACTATTTTTTGCTTTAAGACTGATAAGACTTTGATGTGAAGAAGTTCGATTCCTACTCCCTTGGCAAGATTCCCGAGTACTCTGTAGATACCTCTGAAGTTGACTTACGACTTCGCTTAGTTTTTAGAATCGATGGGATGTTA